ACATTGTATCAGCAATATTATTTTCTTTTAAATTTTAATGAATTCTAAATATCTAATTATGAAACAAAGATTAACACAATATAAGCTTTATTGTAAGCAAAGATAGATAGTGGCTAGCAGTGAAATCCAACTTGATGAGCATTTTGCACAAGCAAGTGGCTATCAGGACTCAATGGCCGAATGGATAACGAGATCGTGTTTGAAGCTAAAGGTCCAAGGTTCGAGTCACAGAGTGAATATCAACTATGAGATACAGGTACATCCAACTGACGAGTCCCAAATTCGACGAAATTCACGTAATTAGATTTCACTGCTAGCCACTGTCCATCTTTGCTTACCATGCTTGTGAATTAAGGCTTTATCGAGGCAATACGTACAGTATGCACATATGCCAATTAGAGACTGACCAGTTGCAGTCCTAACACATCAATGGAAAGATTCAAACAAACAATACTAAATGAATAACCCTTGTTGTTAAACATAACATATACCTAAAGTTTGTGCTGATGATGTCATTCAGAAGGACAATGAAAGCTTCATGACCAAACCATCCGTCTCAGAGAACAAAACTTTATCAAAATCATCCACCTGAGTTACAAATCTTCATCACCATCTTAAAATCATACGAGATTAGATCGCTGTTCACTCATGTCAAAATGTTATCTATATGAGATCATATGTACGATCGTCAAGTGTTGTAACAATCATGACAAGTTCAAACCAATGAGTCAAAACTTATTGGTCTAAATGTATTACTTGAATCATTTTCTTTTACATGCAGAACCTAAAAGAAGTGTACAGTTTGTTGTAACTGCAGGAATATTGTGAAGGTGGTAACTTTTAGCAGTATTTTACGGTGAATTATCATCTATATTTTTATTGTATGCCTGTTGAATAACTAGATTATTGTATTTCCATCGCTGTTGATATTCCTATCGAGATTTAACTCTAATATCTATCGTTTTGTACAAAATACAATCCTTTACTAATAATTTCATGAGCTTTGAACAAGACAGTCGCTATCTAAAATTAATAGTTTAGTGTATAACACGTCGAAGTTTGAGGCTATTGCCATAGTTTGACTTTCGATGTAAAAATCAACACTGGGATGAAGGCTTGTCCACATGACAAGTCTCTAGAAAGAAAATATACATGCATTCTGAACTCCAGTGTTGTATACATATTAAATATACTGAGAAATGGAATTTGTTAGTTCGCAGATGATCTGGATCTTCAATCACACACGCAACAACAAATGGAGGAGACGACCAGTGTGGCAGCAGCCTCAGCAGCAGTAGGTCTCAACACACACAAAGGAAAAAAAACGCAACATGCATCAATCGAGTCACACTTGATGGAGAAGCTTTTGAGGATGTGAAAAACTTTACATATCTGAGCAGCATCATTGATGAGCACGGTGGATCTGATGCAGATGTGAAGTAAGTAAGTAAGAGCAGTATATCTACAACATTCGGAACTCAAAACAATTATCAACCAACAGCAAAATCAGAATTTTCAATACAAATGTCGCGACAGTTCTACTGTATGGGGCGTAGACGTGGAGAACTACGAAAGCCATCATCCAGAAGATGCAAGTGTTTATTAACAGTTGTTTACGCGAAATACTTCAGATCCATTGGCCAGACAATATCAGCAACAACCTACTTTGGGAGAGAACAAATCAGATTTCAGTGGAGGAAGAAATCAGGAAGATGCGCTGGAAGTGGATAGGACACACATTGGGGAAAGCACTCAACTGCGTCACACGACAAGTCCTCACATGGAATCCTCAACGTCAAAGAAGATGAGGAAGACCAAAGAACACATTACACCGAGAAATGGAGACATACATAAGAAGAATGAACAAAAATTGGATAGAACTAGAAAGGAAGGCTCAGAACAGAGTGAATTAGAGAATTCTGGTCGGCGGCCTATACTCCATTGGGAGTAACAGCCGTAAGTAAGTATGTAATAAATAGCTTTTTACTTATCTGGATACACATGTCAATAACCTTTAACGTAAGCGTCTCACTAGTTTATTTAACAAAACTCATTATATTATCATATTTATACAATGCTCTATTTCTTACTTCTAGCAAAATTATCATCTAAGAAATTAAATTCGATGAAAGAAAGAGTTATGTCTTCTTTATTAAATTAAAACAATTTAAAAGTAACCAATCTATGAATTATTATTTCAACTGAAATATTAAACATTATTTTCCTTAAATCAAAAAAAAAAACAAAAAACAAAAACAATAACAGTTTATAAGCAGAGATAAATGTTGGTTAGTAGTGGAATCTAAAACATAAGTTTCATTCTATTTGATACTCATCAACTAGATGCACCATTATCTATCTCTCAACTTATAATATTTGTAACTTAAGACAATATCGAAACAATCCCTTCCGGGATAGTCACATATATATATATATATATAGTCTTTAACATCAATAAGAAGATTCAAGCAAAGAATACAAAAAGGAGAACTATAACAATTTAATAGTTATTTTGTTAAAACAAATTACTTCTCAAGATTCATTATATATTTAATTATTCACGTAATATTCTTATTATTTGATAAATAAATTATCTTTTCAGTAAGGTAAGATGGATAGTGGCTAGTAGTGGAATCCAGTTTGACGCGTGTTTCGTCTTATTTGAGACTCATCAACTGGATGTACCTGCATCTCAGAGTTGATGCTCATTCTGGGATTCGAATCTAGTACCTTTCGCTTCAAACGCCAGCGCGTTATCCACTCAGCTACTAAGTACTGATAGCCACTTGCTTGTGAAATGGGGTGAAGTTTAAATACACTTGATGGTGTTTGTTCAAATCTTCCCATTGATATAAATAAATATTAGAATGCAATTATTTATCATGTTTTCAAAATATATCCTGATTCTAGTTATCTTTTATGTATTGCTTATTTTCTCTTTAACTACAGAATCAATAGTTATCAACTTAATTAGATAAATAAGAGACTGACCAGTTGCAGTGCTAAACATCAATGGGAAGATTCAAACAAACAACATTGACTGTATCTTTTCAATAGTTCAGGTCATGAGTCAATTGAAGATAGACCACCATGGAAAACCTGAAAGCACTGTATGGTCGTTTCCTCCTATTTTGAGGTTCTTCGGCAGTGCGCATCCATGATCCCACCCCGTGAGATTCGAACCCAGGATTTAACAGTTTCGCGCGCGAGCGCTTAACCTCTAAACTACTGAGCCGGAATTTAACAGTGTTAACGTCTAACTTCAAACGATCCACTTAATTGAGCGACACATCCACTATTATCTACAGTGAGTTACTATCTCACAACAGCCCCGGTTGAACTCCACTAGTTTCGCGAGGCGAGATTGTGGATTCGCACTGCTTAGGAGTCCCACAATAGAACGAGAAGGACATCCAGTACTTCCAGGTTTTCCATGTTGATCTAATTTCAATTGACTCATGATCTCAATTATTGAAATTACTATAATATCCACAAAACCCCCTTCTGATATAAATAAATTATCATGTGATTATATTTAATTATTTATTTATAATTATGTTGATAACTTCATTTTCATATTTGTTATATCTAGAAAATTAGTTTATCATAAGTTGGAAACTAAATTTTCTTGTATGTAATAGTTTATGTGATGGTATATAGATTCATATTATAGTATAAAGTGTAATTTACTAATGATTTAACCAGTAAATTATGAATTCACGTGAATAAGTGTAAAATGGTTAATAGTGGTTAATGATCTTTAAGTTAATTAATACTGTAGTGTGGTCTACTTATATCCATATAAGTAGTATATGGTGATGGGTAGACATAGATTGTATTTTGGCAGAAAACTGATAAGGAAAGAACTAAAATAAAGCACAATCGGTATGAAAATGCATGAACAATGAAATCAGAGAAGATGGATTGATATTTACAGAAGAAACAGTGAAGATTTAGACAATTGGTTGTTATTTGGCAAATTAACTGCTTTCTGTATGGTTATCAGGATTCAGTGAGATAGTCTGTAATTTGAGGCTTAAATACATTCGATTGTCCCCCACTGGTGTTCTTGTTCACTACAATACTTTTATATATTTTAAGTGACGTTGATTAATTAATTTATTTATTTGAATACATAAACATTGGTACAAGGTGGCGTGACGGTGGTGATACTCTCCAGATGCCAAAACTGAAGCAGCTGGATTTCTTAAGATGCCATTTACCGAACCTTTGGTCTGTAGTTCTAATCTACAAGTCAGTGGAGCAACATTAGGATATGCAATCCTATGGTAGCCAATGAACAAGAATAGAATCATACGCTTCTTGTTCACTCAATATCCTGAAGTTTATGTGCATCAATGGTTTTGAATCAGGGTTTTCCAACTCCCTTTGATGGATCATCTATATCCGCCAAGTGAATTTAAAGTAGATAGTAATAAATATGTATCCGAAAAAAATCCAATTTTTAACAAGTCGTCAATAAGAAAAGCAAATTTATTTAACTTGAATGGTGAAAGGCAGTTGATAAGGAGAATAGAACCATACATTTCACACTTAAGACCGCTCTGTAACACCTTTTTATCTATAAATTATACACAAGTGATATATTTAGTATCATTTAGTATAATAATCCGGAATGTTAATAAGGAAGTACTCAATTGATATATACATTAAAGTTTCAGTGAAATCATGAACCGATCAAATTTAAAACACTGTTAATTAAAGTAAGACAATAAAACCGTTGAATACCGACTCAATGGTTTGAAGGTTAAAAAGTTAGCATGAAAGACTGAAGGCGCTAAAATTTTATTCCTAAGTGTGGACTTATGGATGCTCATTTCTGAGGAGACTCATATTTTAACGAAACAGCCATCCAATGCTTTGAGGTTTTGAATGGTGATGATGATGATGATGATGATGATGGCTTCTTTCTTTATATGAAAAGAAAAAATTGAACAATGACAATAATAACAATAGTATAAAATAAAAAGAGTACTTACTTAGCAACATGATCCATTTTTGTCCATGTTCTTGTTTGATTAACTATATCATTACTATTACTACTACATCGATAATCATATGAATTATAATCATTATTAATTATACTAATATTATCATTCATAGTATTATTATTATTATTATATGATTGTTGATCATCATATTTACAGAATAGATTCGGTGTAATAGAACGATAACCATCATTGGATTCATTGTAGCTAGAATATTCATGATCTATTAAATTATCATAAATATTATTATAACTATATCCATGTTTATAATGTAATTCATTGGATAATTGATGTAAATTTAAATGATGATTATGATTATTAGTAGTAGTTGTAGTAGTTGTAGTAGTTGTAGTAGTAGTAGTAGTAGTAGTAGTATCTTGTATTAATGAACGTGGTCTTCTAGGTAATATACGATTAGGTTGTTTATGATTTATTTTACGATAGATTCTATTTAATTTTATATCATTATAATTATAATTATATGGTAATGATTGAGAATAAGTATAATAATCACTAGTTGAGTTATTATTATTATTATTTAATTTATTCAATAATTTTTTATTGTTTATTAATGATTCTTCAGATGAATAACAATTTAAATAACTTGAAATAAAATTATAAACAAAAAAAGAGGTTATAATAATGAGTATAAATAAAACATTTAAAAAAAGTGAATTGAAACAAATTATATATGTATAAACAAAGATGGATAATGGTGTTTCGTCTTATTTAAGACTCATCAGATGAATGTACCTGCATTTCAGAGTTGTTATTCACATCGGGACTTGAACTCAATATCGTTCACTTCAAACGTCATCACGTTATTCACTCAGCTACTGAGTCCTGATAGCCACTTGCTTGTGCAATATATACATACATACATATATATATATCAACAATTTCATTAAGTCATTATGACGCCATTGTTATGAAATCGATTATATAATAAATTCATTCCCTGATCTATACGAATGTTACCATATAAGTATTTGTATTTCACGTACATATATTGCCTCCTTTCAGATTTCATTGTACATTGAATTTAAATTAATACTTTATGCACAGTCACTTGGAACTAAATTATCCCAATAGTTTATAGTTAAATGATTTAATTTATTGACTTTAAAGACTTCAAAGTATTTTGATTTAAGATATATTCAAACATAGAATAACAACAAACTTCATGTATGAATAAATTGTATATCTTCCTGAGGATAGAATGAGTGAATAAAGCACTATTATGTATAGACTAATACAAAGATAATATGTATAATTTAAAATCCTATTTTGCTTAGTATTTCAATCAATATGAACGTCAAGACAGTTCTACTGTATAGAGCTGAAACGTAGAGAACTACTACATCCATCGTCAAGAAGATACAAGTATTTATGAACAGTTGTTTACGCAAAATATTTCACATTCATTGGACGGATACTATCAACAATAGCGTTTAATGGGAGAGGACAAATTAGCTTTCAGCTGAAGAGGAAACTAGGAAAAGACGTTGGATGTGAATAGGACACACATTGAGGAAATCACCAAACTGCATCACAAGGCAATCCCTAACTTGGAATCCGAAAGGAAAGAGGAAACGATGAAGACTTAAGAACACATTACGCCTGGAAATAGAAGCAAATAGGAAAAGGATGAATAACAACGGGGATTGAACTGGAAAGGATTGCCCTGGACAGGGTTGGATGGAGAATGCTAGTGAGCGGCCTATGCTCCTCCACGAGGTATAACAGGCGGAAGTAAATAATAAAATAATTTCAATCAATGATCCTTTCGTGTAAATTATGTTTAGGTACTTTAATGATTTGGAGAAAATCCACTAACATACATGAAAGTTTAGTTATTTCAGTTGATCTGGATGTAGAAATCAAATTTTAGTACATAAAACAAGTTGAATCTAATATAGTTTTAAAAAAATTTCGTGGAAATTTATAACACAGTCCGTTTTTCCTTATGTCCTATCAGTTTATTATTGTGTAAAATAGTTTACAAAATGGAATAAATCATAAAGTAATGTTACATCTGACCATCTAGTTAACTAAGATGTCTTTAGATACTGTTAGTAATGTGTCTTTGTGTGTTTATTACTTACAGGTTGTTTACAACTTGGAACTATAGCTTTTTAATTTGCTTCAAAAGAAAGGTAGTTTAGCAATAGCCTTATCATCTTGTAACAAATACTTGAGGTTTTTTTATAGCCTTACCACCAATGAAGCGAGTCTCTTGGGGGAAAATAGTTGTGTTGATTTTATAGTTTACCTTTCTCAAACCATTTTAGTTTATTGTGAAAAGACAGTATTAATCCAACTGCTGGCCGTCTTAGGAAAATTCCTTATTGACATCATCCCAACCAACACAGTCAAATGTATGACTTTGGCCTCGGAGATTAAAGAAAAACAACAGTTACTTTTAGTTTCAACCCTGTTCAATTGACTTTCATGACATAGTGTGATTTAAAAGGATAAATGTTCAAAACAATCGAATAGTTGGGCATTCATTGTATTCATGTCTGAATATCACATCATAGAAGCAGAGATTCAAAACTTGTTTAAATGGTTAAAATAATCCTTCCAACAGTTATCTCAGTAGTACTAATATTTTAATTCAGTTTTTCTATAAGATATCTTTTACTATACTTTACAGTGAGAAGAGATTAATATACAAGGGATCATGAAATGATTCAAATTAGATCCCTTTGAAAAAGAAAAAAAAATTTATTGATATATGTGTATACTATGCGATTCGCCTCAATATAGCCTTAATTCACAAGCATTATAAGTAAAGATGAATAATTGCTAGCAGTGGAATCAAGGATGCGTGTTTTTTCCTATTTCGGACTTGTTAGATGGATGTATCTGCATCTCAGAGTTGATGTTCAATCTAAAACTCGAACCCATTACCATTCACTTCAAACGTCATGGAGTTATCCACTCAGCTATTGAGTTCTGATAACCACTTGCCTGTGCAATGGGGCGAAGTTTGAATTCACTAAGTATTGTGAGGTAGATCCAACTAACGAGTCCCAAATAGGATGAAACGCGTATCCTAGTTTCCACTGCTAGTCACTATCCATCTTTGATATATGAATAATTTGTTTTTATAAATACTAATTGAAGTTTTGATCAAAATAGAATAGCATAAAATTAGAAATAACATTAATAAATCTTTATATTCAAATATCTTACCCATTAAAATGGTTTGACGGGGATTCTGAATGTAACTAATCATAGATATCAAAAGAGAAAAGAGAATAATACAAACGAAATTTTTACCATCAATAATAAAGATAAGTGAGAATTTAAAAAAGAAAAGAAAAAGGATAATCATTAAACTGATGTCTTGCGAATTGTAATAGTCCAGTTTTGATCAATTCGTGATTTCAACTGTGTTAATAGTAAAATCTCCACAAATTTCCATACTGATAATGATCGTATGCTCACTAGTGACTAGCTTCATGAGGGAGTTCTTGGAGTTCTAGTGAGAAGTTGCTACCAGTAGATTCTAATCCATGTCAAGTGTGAGACACTTATCCACAATGGGTGATGGGTTGCACAAGATCATGGATTGATTAAAGTAAGACATCAACACTGTTGGATACTGACTCAGTGATCTAGAGTTTAAGCGTTTGTGTGTGGAGCCAAAGGTCTTGGATTGTAGTTCGTATAATGCGGGATTATGGATGCGCAATGGTGAGGAGTCCCATACTTGAACGAAACGGCCGTTTAGTGCTTTCATGTTTTCAATGATGGTCTAGCTTAGATCAGCTGATGATTTCAACTGTGAAAATACTACAATCTCCACATATGATAATGTGATAATGAACAAACTTTTAATTGTTTTAAACGTAGAAAGAAACACTGCTAAATATAATATTGAGTAATGTACCATAACAAAACAACTCTTCATTGCTGAAAGTTAGTTTTTGACTTAGAATAAATATACTTTATGAATAGTACACAAATATTTTATGCAATTCATTTCTGGTATCTGTTAAACTAAGGCCATATTGAGATATAACAAGTATTATTATTAGACATACAAACATTAGTACAAGGAGGCACCAAATAGATAAACGCCACATAAATCATTCAATTTATGTGAGGGCTGGAATACTGTTTGGGTGCCCAGATCAAAAGAGATGGTTTATTTAGGGCGCTCATTTCCTTACCATTTACCTAAAGGTCTAATGCATAAGTCAGTGAAGCAACTTTAGAAGATGCATTTCTATGGTAGCTGATGACCAACAATATGTTCATACGCTTTTTGTTCCGTCAGAATTGAAACAATCGATCAATGTTTCTATCAGTATAAAAGTTAATTATGTAATGAAATTAAACATATCATAAAAGTTAAAGGGTAAGAAACAATTATGGTAATCGTTTATTGCTTAATTATTAATTTTAGTTTACACTAAGTTCTATGAAAAAAAAACAAAAATTGTATGTTGAATAATTTATCAGTTTACAACACCTACACGTAGGTTTAACGAATTAATGATGTTAACAGTTGAGCTCAGACTTAACAGTTCTATATATACTCCAATGTAGGTTTATTGATAAGAAATTCGAAAGATCGAACCACATCAAAGTAGCCTGTTAATATTAAGTAGATCATCATCTAATGACAATTGATGATAACAATAACCTTTGAATCATTTATATATGTCAATTGTTTAACCTTTTATATGATTGTATAATTTTCTTTTTATCTTCTAAAACAATTTATAAGAACTTTCGGGTAAATTAGAGCAAATAGTTTCACAGTACTTCAGCGCCAAGTTGATGTAAGACACATTAAATAGGAAGAAGAATATGTATTTTTAAAGTCTCAGCGAATGAATTTGAAGTAAATCAAACATTAAGCCTGGCAATTTTGGTCCAAGCTTATTCAAAGAATTATAATCAAATATCAAAATTTTTCAAAGTTGAAAACCATTCATCAATGTCATCAGTGAGTTGATATCTCACAACAGATTTGGTTGAACTCCACTGAATGGTTGCTCAATTGCGGTTGAAGTTAAACATTAACAACGTTGGATGCCGGCCAGCTGAGTGGTCTATCGGTTAAGGGCTCTAGCTCGAGGCTTGTAGGTCCTAGGTTCGAATCTCCTGAGTGCGGGATCGTGGGTGCACACTGCTGAGGAGTATTAGTGTGTAAGAGGTTTGTGATGTGAAATGATAAGTGTTAAGATAACATATTGTATATATACGTTAGTGGTGAGAGGAGAAATTTCATTCACACTATATATTGTCTCCTGTCGATGAATTTTTAAGAAACAATTTATGCTTCAAATTCATTCAGTATTGTTTGTTTGAATCTTCCGATCGATTTGTTAGGACTACAACTGGTCAGTCTCTAATTGGCATATGTGCATATTGTGCGTAATGCCTCAATATAGCCTTAATTCACAAGCACGGTAAGCAGAGATGGATAGTCCCAGAGTGAACATCAACTCTGAGATACAGGTATATCCAGCTGACGAGTCCCAAATAGGAGGAAACGCGCGTCCTAAATTTCACTACTAGCCACTATCCATCTCTGCTTACCAATTTATGTTTCAGTTAGTTAATTATTAGTGATTGTTTAATTTGAAAGTAATTGATCATCACAGATTGCCGTAAGGTGTAGATCAGTTATTAATTAAAGGCGATATGCTAAATTTTAACTTATTAACCTAAAAATGTCATAACTACGGATGAAATCTGATTTTAGATCCTTCTTCATTATATTTAAATGATTGATATATATCGTTGAGAAGTCCTAAAAGTAAATAAAACAACTATTCAATTATTGCTGGTTAATTAAATGAGATCAGTTGTAGATCTTAAACTCATCGGATAGTTGAAAAAGAAATTTTTCAAACAATCTTATAATACATTATATGTGAAAAAATTATTATATTTGAAATAGTCTCAGCGATTGAAATTTAAATAATTCCAACGTTTCGTCCAGATAACTTGTCTGAACTTCTTCAGGGAAATAATCAAAATCAAAAACATCAAAGAAATATATAGTGTTTTTTTAACAATCATATCAAAATCTCTATTACTTTTTAATCCAATCATATTTGGATGTCGAAGTTTTTGTACAACAGGATAATATGAGTCAGTTGAATGAGAATCAAGTGAAAAGTTCAACGATGTGATTAGAGATTTTGATATGATTGTTAAAAAAAAATATTATATATTTTTTTGATGTTTTTGATTTTGATTATTTCCCTGAAGAAGTTCAGACAGGTTAGCTGGACGAAACGTTGAAATTATTTAAATTTCAATCGCTGAGATTATTTCAAATATATTTTTTTCACATATAATGAATTCTCTATATTCGGCGCCCAATTATTGTCAAACTATTCGTTTTAATCTTGACGAATATTCGTATAAATCTTATAATATAAATATTGGTTACGTAGTACTGTAATAACATAACTAAAAATATTATTTTATACAGCTAAAATAATGTCAACCGCCGGGAAATAGAAGCAGATATGAAAAGGATGAATATTACAACTGGACAGGAAGGCTGAGGACAGACTTGGATGGGGAATGCTGATGAGCGGCTTACGCTCCTTGACGAGGGGTAACAGGCGTAAGAAAGTTAAATAAAGTAATTATGATTTATGACTCATTTTAAACATTATAAACTTACATTTTTTGAAGCATAATGTCTTTGTATAATGATTGGTTGAAAGGAATGTTCATTTATTGGATCTTCATCTAATAAATAAATAAATAAGAATAAAACGAATTTATGAAAAAAAATTTTAATAGTTGAAAGCATGAGTCAATTGAAGCTAGACAACCAAGGAAAACGTGGAAACATTGAACGGCTATTTCGTCCTATTATGGGACTCCTCAACAGTGCGCATCCAAGATCACGCCTCACTAGACAAAACGGCCGTCTAATGCTTCCAGGTTTTCCTTGGTGGTCAAGCTTAAATTAACTCATGCTTTCACCTATGAAATTACTGAAATCTCCACAAAAAACCCCTTCTGAAAAAAAAGTTGTTAAAATTGATAGAATATGATAAGTTGTTTTGAAGAAAGGGTTTAAAATAATTTTTTTTGAATCACTATTATCGATGATAAACTAGGTACACTTATAATATGGGGACGTATCGTACCAGAAAGTAAAGCTTCTGAAACCAACTGATGTACATAGTTGAATTCATTGAGAGAGTATATACAGAAATCAAATATAAAACAAAAGAATTTGACATAATGTACTAATAATTCTGAACTATAAGATAGATAGATATATACGATAATGTAAACTCCATTCGTTATGACTTTTCCGTATTAGTTTGATAAGCTAGTTGAATACATTATTAGGGATAAGCTTTGACAATTTGAATTAGCCATAAGTTTTAATAATCAAAATATTGCACAAATATGTCATATATGTATTACTGAATCTATTGTTTGGTGACTATCTTGAAAAAATCCTTTGTGATGTGATTCATTCAATGTCTTTGAACCAGTAGTTAGTTTGAAAACTATTCATCGGTATGACATTCCTTTAACAGAACTCTTATCAATATTTCCATCTGTATATATGAATTTAGACCCTGCTCAGATTTAATAATAAATTTTATGGATTTATTTGATGTATTACAAACTTTAATCATGCTCAAATCTCTGTGAATCAATCAAATAATAAATAGGAATCTGAATAATACCAACATTAAAAACAAAATATTGACATATTTTCGGTATAGAGTTACGAAGATTGTTGGCTTTCATTGAAATCACGGACTAGTCTAAGTTTGATCTCCAATTAGAACCTCCGCAACCCCTTGCTGACAATTATTATGCACCTATTAGTGACTAGATTCAGGAGGAAATCCCTGCAGTTCTAGTGAGTAGCCATAACCAATTAAATTCGATCCGTGTTAAGTGTGAAACAGTCACCAACTGAAAAACAAGAGAGATGACTGAAATTATACATTGACACCGTTGGCTGCTGACTCAGTGGTCTGGAGGTTAAATGTTCGTGGACGGAACCGAAGGTAGTTGGTTGGATTCCCACGTATGGGTTTGTGAATGGATACTGATGAGTAGTTTCACACTAAGGACTAAATGGGTGTCCAGAACTTCCAGGTTTTCAATGCTGGTCTAACTTATATCGGTTCGTGATTTTAGTCATACTGGTTTATATTGAAATCCTGTGTTAGATCGGATATAAGGTAAATACATTCAAGACCAGTTAATGACTTATGTATATTAGTATCTGTAGTGCTTAGTGGACGTACGTTTTTGATAGGAATCACACCTGTATCACATCAATATTTAGCATTTTGCACTGTAGGATGTTTAGTTGAATAATGTTTACTGTAACGGATGTATACTGTCAAGAGGTTAGAAACCACATTGCAACTGATTTATAGTTATTGATAGTTTTCCTCTGTTTATGTAAGTCACCAATATTGTTTAAAACATCCTAATAATAGGATATAGACACATAGTTTAAATAGTTGAAAACATGAATCAATTGAAGCTAGACCACTATGAAAAACCTGGAAGCACTGGATGGCCGTTTCGTCTTATTGTAGGTCTCCTAAGCAGTGCGCATCTACGATCCCGTACTCGCGAGATTCGAACCCAGGACCTACCAGTCTCGAGCTAGAGCCCTTAATCGATAGACCACTGAGCTGGCCGGTATCGAACGTTGTTAATGTTTAATTTCAACTGATCCACGAAATTGAGCAACCGTTCACCAATTGTCTTCAGTGATTTCCTATCTCACAACAGATGTGGTTTGAACTCCATTGGTTACTGCTTCTCACTAGAATTCCTGAATGTACTTCTCATAACCACTGCTAACTGCCATTGAGGAATCTCATAATAGGACGAAACGCCCATCAAGCAGTGCTTCCAAATTTTCTATGGTTATCTAGCTTCAATTGACTCATGTTTTTAACTATGAAAATACTAAATCTCCATATAAAACTCCTTCTGATAATGAATATAGTTTCAAGTCAGTTTATTGGGTATATAACTAACCATATACAATCATGATCAATGTTAATCTAGTTTAAAGATGTAATTTAAAAATGGGGAATTTCTATTTCTACAATTCTTTCATCATCTTATATTTTTTTTTAGTTTTTTTCTTCAAGGTAAAAAATATTTTTTGTTTTTAAGAAAAAAAAAAATTTTTTTTTTACCTGGTTTCTTGTTTAAATTCCGTTCATAACTACTATGTCGGCATATAGATAATTGGACATTGTCAATATTATCATTATTACCATTTGGTTTTTTTTCATTGATTTGTTGATATGAATTCAATGAATTTTCATTTTTAAATGGATATAACTTATTTAATTCATTATAGCTTCGATTATATTGTTTCTCATTTATTTTTACCGATTTGTCGGATAAATCTTGTTCACTGATGAATGCATTGTAATGATTAATCTAAGATATGAAATAACAGATATGTTAATTAATTATTTGTATATAATTAAAAAACAGATTAGTTTTGCAATGCGTAATCATATTTGATCATTGTTGCTAAAGAGTGGTCATATAGTCAGTCAATCAGTCAGTCAGTGACAACGTAGGACAAGACACATATATGCAAAAGGGGATTTGTGGAGATTTCAGTATATTTTAAAGTTGAAATCATGAGTCAATTGAAGCTAGATCGGTTAAGGGCTTTGGCTCGTAACTGTTAGGTCCTGGGTTCGAATCTCGCGAGTGCGGGATAGTGGGTGCGCACTGCTGAGGAGTCCCATAATAGGACGAAACGACCGTCCAGTGCTTCCAGGTTTTCCATGGTGGTCTAGCTTCAATTGACTCATGATTTCAACTTTGAAATACACATATATGCATCGGTCGAAGCTGCCATACCTCGTTAGGTCATATAGTAGATGAAAATAAATCATTCTGAGTGATCTACTGTATACATATGTAGTTTTATAAAGTTGTTCGATATCGTCTCTTAAATACAGAATAAAATGAAGGGATTTAATTTCACTTAGTATTGTTTGTTTGTATCTTCCAATTGATGTTTAGGACTGCGACTTGTCAGTCTCTTATTGGCCAGATTTGCATACTGTATGTATTGCCTCGATAATGCCTTAATTCACAAACATTATAAGCAAAGATGGATAATGGCTAGCAGTGGAATCCAGTTTGCCGAGCGTTTCGTCCTATTCGGGACTCGTCAGCTAGATGTACCTTCATCTCACAGTTGATGTTCACTCTGTGACTCGAACCCAGTACTTTTCCCTTCAAACGCCATCGCGTTATTCACTCAGTTACAAACAAACAATACTGAGTTTAAACTTCACCCCATTGCACAAGCAAGTGGCTATCAGGACTCAGTGGACGAGTGAATAACGTAATGGCATTTGAAGCTATATGTACTAGATTATTCTGATCATTTATGTAGCTTAGTTGATTGAAGTTGGAAATGTTTAAGGTTTGCTTCAGGGTTAAGCGAAATGTGAATGAATAGAGTTCGATTAATAGTAGGGTCATTTTGGTCATCTGTTAAAGAAAACAAATTGGGTGGCTTACATCAAGCGATGCTCGATATTTTTTATTATGTAATACCCGAACTGTGGTCGATTTGTGACAAATACCTTCATATAAGGCATAAACTGAGGGATAAACTTGAAAAAATCTTTACACCGTTGGATAGCAATTTCGTATATCACAGTTATTCATCGATTTTACACAAATGTTATGTTCCATTGGAAATCTAGAAAATACTTAAAACGTATATATAGCAATGGGTTAAGAACGCATAAATTCAGGTGGAACTTCTTTTTAGGGATTTTAGATCCACAGAACTGACTTGGTAAACGTCTTATTGTCAGAATTTTATTTTGGAAATTTCAATTTCTTTTTTTTCAAGCCTAAAGCTCCCATTTTCACCTTCATATCATATTTCTTACTTGGGAGGACCTTAAATGTTATTGGTTTGTTATCTCTTTTAATATGCTATTTTGTAATGTTTCTCAAGAACATTTCTATGCTGTATATGTATGCTTGAGTTGTGATCATTGTCTTTCATACTTCTGGTTGCTTGTGGCATACATTTTCCCTCTTCTGAACTTGGATTTTTTTTCTCTAGTTTGTGGGAACGTGACTCATCGTAATAATTAGCTTATTTGGTTATTGTATTACTGAGTCTTCGTTCTATTCTCAGATTTAGCTGGACTCTTACTCTCTTCAAACATAGCACTTTACAAAAACATTTATAAACAATACTCTAAAAATAAACAATAATAACTAACAGCCTATAATTCATAATTTCAGTAGCTTAGTGGATTACATGTCGTCGTTAAAATCAGAAACTAGTGGATTCCGATCACATTGTAAATATAAATACTAGAATGCAGATATATCCAACAAATAAGCTTCAAACAGAATGAAACTCATGCTTTGAATTCCAGTCCCACTAACAATCTTAATGTATCATTATATGTATAAAATATTTAAATATTATATTCATGAGAAGCGCTGGAAGTGGATAGGATACACATTGAAAAAATCGCCCAGCTGCGTTATAAGGTAAGCCTTCATACAGAATCCTGAAGGTCAAAGGATTAGAGAAAGACCAAACAACACATTACACCGAGAAATTGAAACAGACATGAAAAGAATGAACAACAATTGGATCGAACTAGAAAAGAAGGTCCAGAACAGAGTAAGTTGAAGAATTCTGGTCGGCGGCCTATACTCCATTACGAGTAACAGGCCTAAGTAAGTAATAACAAATGTAATACTTTTTAATAGATTGAAATAATCAATCTGTCGTAAAATACATCGGATCTGTTGGCCAAACAATATCAGCAACAGCCTACTGTAAGAGAGAACAAACCACATTTCAGAGGAGAAAGAAATCAGGAAGAAGCGCTGGAAATGGATAGGATACACATTAAGGAAATCATCCGACTGTGTCATAAGACAAGTTCTCACGTAGAATCCTGAAGGTCAGAGGAGAAGAGAATGACCAAACAACACATTACACCGAGAAATGGAAACAGACATGAGAAGACTGAACAACCATTAGATAGAAACTAGAAAGGAAGGTCCAGGACAGAGTAAGTTGGAGAATGCTGGTTGGCGGCCTATACTCCATTGGGAGTAACAGGCGTCAGTAAGTAAGCAAATAAGTAATATTCATAAGAGTAATACAAAACAAATAAACATCATCAATAATACACAATTTTCAACTTACATTATTATTATTATTATTATTATTATTATTATTTAAAAATTCCGGTTTTAATGGTCTAGCTATATGAGTTATATAATCATCTTTAAATTTTGTTAATTTTGATGTTTTCAATCTTTTGCTTGTTGTATTCATGATATTCGGCGTTGATTTATAATGATTATATTGTTTTAATAAATTCATTTTATTTAGATTAGATGAATTAGTGGATTGTATCATGTTTTCAGATGTTGAATGATCTACCTAAAATGTGAAATAGCCTTGAATATATATTCAATGGTTAAATAATGAATACGGTATATATGTAATTGAATTTGTTCTTGAAAAGATATGAATATGTATTACGTAATAATGATTACATATAATTATTCTATTATTTAAATAATAAACATTTGTATTTATTTAAATAATTAAAGAAAAGATTGAATGAATATTACGTATTTGGTACTGGTTAATTAACTATGTCATTTGGTTACAAATTAGAGTTTTGTCAGCTAGTTGAAAACATACATTACTGTGTCATTCAAAGTATTTGAATACATCAATGTATCTATCTATCTATATCTATATCTATGTATCTATCCATCCATCCATCCATCCATCCATCCATCCATCCATCCATCCATCCATCCATCCATCCATCCATCCATCCATCCATCCATCTATCTATCTATCTATCTATCTATCTATCTATCTATCTATCTATCTATCTATCTATCTATCTATTTATCTGTATCTATATCTATACAATGAAGTAAATGTGAACGGAATGTATAGCTGAGCTTGGTTTAATATAGATTTATCTTGATTCAAATAAGAAAAAAACTATGAGCAATTATAATTGAGAAGATCAACTATTTTTATAATTCATGAAATAATTGTAAAACAGATTGATAGATAATTTTCTATAATCTAGGTGATTATTTTATTGTAGATCATCTGATTTTTTTTTAAAAATATACACATTTTGAAGCTTTTATTGATAGGTAAAATTGTAATATGACTATTATATATAATCTCTAAGGAACAAATGGATAATTAATCTTCATAGTTGAAAGCATAAGTTAATTGAAGCTAGACAACCAAGGAAAATCTGGAAGCACTGGACGAACGTTTCGTCCTATTGTGAGACTCCTCAGTGGTAGTGCGCATCCATGATCGTGCCTTGAAAGATTCCAACCCAGGACCTACCATGCTGAAATCCCTACACAAACCTCTTCTAAGGATAATAAATCATCAATTTACCTAAGAAACAATTTGAATTTGGTGTTCTCAAGACAAATATACTTATATTTCTTAGTAGAATTAAGGATTGTTACCATCACCGTAAGTGAATATTCATACAACAAGCAGTTGGTATTATTAAAAAAAATACTACAATTAATATAAGATATTAAATAGAAAGAATATATATGTAATCACAATTGATTGACCACTAGGTGATGATCAATGTCATGCGTGTCAAGTCCGTCTTACTGCTGATTGAATGATATTGATCAAGTTGCAATGTGACCACTAGTCTAAGTGGCTCGACACTGCATGCACTATATTGAGATAAGATGGTGGTTGGAGGTGATCAACAGGAAACCCTGGACCCGAGTTTCGTGCTACTTGAAACTCGTCAGCAAGGTATACCTATAATATTGAAGGAACTTGTACTCCCTGACGAATTTGATCCCGTGTCACTCAGCTTCACAATCAAAAACGTTATCACTGAGCTATTCGAGCACGATCGACCTCGTGTAGCACTGAGATATAATCACAATTGATTGACCACTGGGTGATGATTAATGTCATGCGTGGAATCTCAGCCAATGAATTTGAAGTAAATCCAACATTTCGCCTGGCTAAATTCATTCGCTGAGATTTTACAAATACATATTCTTCTTCCTATTTAATGTATCTTACATCAACTCGGCGCTGAAATACTGTGAAACTATTCACTCTAATTTAGACGAAAGTCCTTATATAAACTAATAAGTATATGATTTGATCACTTATGATTATTATTTTTTTCATTTTATGATGTAATACAGTCTAGTCTAGTTGGTTATAATGATTATTTCATCACTTATATGGTTGCTGTACTTGTTTACCATTACACTGTTCAGAATTCAACTTAAAAGAAATCAAGAATCTCAACAGAAATTGAAAACAACCTTTTTTAAATAATCAATTTAATAGTTGAAAGTATGAATCAATTGAAGCTAAAACCACCATGAAAAACCTCGAAGCACTGAACGACCGTTAGATACCGGCTCAGTGATCTATCGGTTAATTGCTCTGACGCGACACTGGTATGTCTTAAGTTTAAATCACGCGAGTGTGGGATCGTGAATGCTCACTGCCACTGAGGAGTCTCATAATAGAATGAAACGGTTGTCAAGCAATACTTCCAGGTTTTCCATATTGGTCTAACTTCAATTGACTAATGATTTCAACTATTAAAATATATAATTATGTCATAAATTTACCTCAAGTTTCTTATTTGAATTATACTGTTCTTTTGTATCTGAAATTTTCCATGTAATATTATTATTATGATTATGATTATGATCATGATTATGTAATCCATGATCCGGATCAATATTTAATTGATTATTATTATTATTATTTAATGTTGTTGACAATGAATTAAATTTCATAATAGAATTATTTACATTTGGTAAACTTTCACATGATATATTTGATAATGATGATTGACTAATTGATGATTTATAACTTAGATTATTATTATTATTATTATGATTACATAATTGAGCATCTTTTTTTAAAGCTGATCTATTTGTAATTGGTAATTTAGGGTACGAATTCATCTTTATATGATTATTATTATTATTATTATTATTATTGTTTTCACGTATAATTGTTATTTTAGAAGGTTGATAATTATTGATATGATCCGGTGTAATTGATGGATCATTTAATTGTGTATTAATGATGACCGATGATGATGATGATGATTTATTCAATAAAGGTGATATTTTGATTGGTTTATGATTATTATTTATAATGTTAGAATTAATTATTAAACTGGAATGACTTAAATCTGATATAGATGCACTTTTAATATTGTCTATGTAATTAGATGTGAGATCTGAAAAAAGGAGTTAAAAAAAGAAGAATTATTATTTAGATAAATATTATATAGTTGAAATCATGAGTTAATTGAAGCTGGATCACTATGGAAAACCTGGAAGCATTGGATAGCCATTTTGTATTATTGTGGGACTCTTCAATAGTTCACATCCAAAATAAATTCAAAGTTATATCCAGTGGAGAATTATAAATGGTAACTCTGAGGATTATTTATGGACCAATGTGACATGTATATTTCCTATTGTCTAACTGTCAAGTAACTAAACTATTCATATTCATGTCCCTCTTATTATAAGATTTATTTTCTCCTATGGACTATTATTAAACGATTCAACGTTTTTGAATTCTCCTCAGTCCATTAATTACTGTTCCCCATGTTCAGAGCCACATTTCGCCTAATCTTGTGCAAATGTTATTTTCTATTTTATGGTACAATGTGGTTAGTTTGTTTGGTATGCAAACCCAGTATGGTTGACAATAATGACTCATATTTCAGAGGCTATTATTGGTGTTCTAGACTTAACTGGCTAGGCTAGGCAGTAAGCAGGACTGATAAGTGCTCAAGACTGGTCATTCGATTTTGTGTATTATTGATCCGATCGAAAATTCACTACTCTCTTATTGGCGGTCATATAGCGTATATATATATATATATCAAACAGGGCACGCACCCAATCGATATAACATCCAATATAAATAGTTAAGTATAATAATGATTTGTTTAAAAATTATTCTGTTAATCTTTTCTTAATTATCTAACTTGAGAATTTAGTAGTGGAATGGATTTACAGTAGTAGTAGTAGTAGTAGTAGTAGTAGTAGTAATATTAGTAGTAGTAGTAGTAGGTTTGTGGTAATAATAAGTCACAATATAGATTGGCAACAACTACCTACTCAATGCTTTTTGGTTTATAATCATTAAAGATAGCTAAAGTAATATGTTTGTGGATGAAAATCGATGTAATTTAATGAACGTTTGTATGGCATTCCCTGATATTTATGGCTACTTTCTTTACTAGTCTTATTTAATAGATATAAAGTTCATAGAGCTTTGAATGGGAACAGAAATATTTTTCATAGTTGAAATCATGAGTCGATTGAAGGTAGACTACCATGGAAAACGTGGAAGCACTGTTTGACGGCCGTTTCGTCCTATTATGGGACTCCTCAGTTGGAGTGCACATCCACGATCCCGCACTTGCGAGATTCTAACCCAGGACTTACCAGTCTCGCGCCGGAGTACCTAGCCGGCATCCAACGGTGTTAATATCTAACTTCAACCAATCCATGAAGTTTGAGCACCCGTTCACTAATTGTCTTCAGTGAGTTGTTATATATCTATGATGTATTTTACACAGATGTTCAGAAATTAATAACAACTTACGTAAAACTGATAATGAATTTCTATTATACGTAAGAAAGCTTTGATTTATTTCTAAAAATGTCAAATTTTATTTAGTATAAATAAGATATGACTAGATTGTAAAAACTTAGAGATGAAGCGCACAAACACTTAATCTCTAGACTACTGAGTTGGTATCCAATGGTTTGAATCTATAACTTCCATCAATCCATGATCTTTAGCAACCCTTAAGAAGTCTACAAATTGATGGCTCGCACTCGAGATCGAAGGTCCTATGTTCCATTCCCCATGTTCTGGTTGTAAATTCTCACTATTAGGGAATCCCATACCATTCGTTTAGTGAATCCAGGTTTTCAATGGTGATCTAGCTATGTTCAGTTCATGATTTCAACTGCAAAAACACTACAATCTTTACAAATCCCCTATAATAAATTGTTAAAATTGTAATAATACACATTAATATCATCCAAAAAATATTTTCATACTACATCTAAACTACTCATAATCATTAATAGTAATATAGCTAACCGGATTTACTAACCAGTTTCTTTGAAACTTGTACATTTATTAATTTCTTTTATTCTGTATTCATCTAAATTATAACCTAAATAATTTTTTTTCAATGCTAAATTTGATAAGAAACAACTAGATACAGAAGTGTTATTAGTCGTCGTCGTCGTAGTAGTAGTAGTAGTAGTAGTAGTAATAGTTGCTGTTATTGAAAGGGTGGAACTAATCGATTTCCCTTGGAACACAGGTATTAATGAATGTTGACTATGAGTATTATTATTATTCCTAGTTGATAGTTTTACAATTGGATAAGATTCAGTATGTTTAAAATTTATTTTTTCAGTATTATTATTATTCATATATTGATTAACATTACTTTTATCAAGTGTATTATGATTACTAATAGTAGTATTGGTTAATTGAACTTGTGATGAATGTTGTGGTTTATTTATTAAAGTTGACTTCATATATTGGTCATCATGTTTTATTGATGTTAATAGTGGTGATGTTTGTAATTTTGTTTGTGAGACCATTTTGTTTTCTGGTTGTTTTGATGGAGAGATTGTATTTTTTAATGTTGTTACACCAGTATTCTTCTTTTCACCTCTAATGAATAAATAAAAAAATGAAAAAAAAATGATAGAAGACAAACATTTTCGAGATATATTTTGGGCTTACTTATAAGTAGTCTGTAGAGTAAAATAAAACTTTGAAATCCTGTCAGTGTCAGTCAAAATCAGGTGATATATCTACAAAGCTGCTTAAATATACTATTCATAATGCTTTCTTAATCATAAAAGATATATTGTCATATATCTGAAATGTTACCATTCAATGGAGAGCTTGAAATTATTGTTCGGATTGTCTACTTTTGTAAATTTGCACTGGTCACAGTCTATTATGTTTTAATCAGAAGGGGTTTTGTGAAGATATCAGTATTTTCATAAGTGAAAGCGTGAGTCAATTTAAGCTGGATCATCAGGGAAAACCTGGAAGCACTAGACGGCCGTCTCTTCCTATTTCGCTAAACTGACAGGTCCTGGGTTCGAATCTCGCGAGGTGGGATCGTGTATGAGCACTGCTGAGGAGTCTCACAATAGGACGAAACGGTCGTTCTGTGCTTTCAGGTTTTCCCTGGTGGTCTAGCTTCAATTGGCTAACGCTTTCAACTATTATATATATATATACATATATATATATATATATATATATTTGAAGGATTTTATTGGTTGTTTAATATGAAGATGCCATTACATCCTTTTGGTAGTGCTGAACAATTTCTTTTATAATTTTTTTTGTTCTTATGTTTTCTCAATTATCCTTTACTGTTATCCAATTTCATATTTTGGAATTTTGAGAGAAGATCATGATTTTTTACGGAGAGTCATGTAAAGATTAGTAAGATATGTGTTTAATCTTATAGGTCATCTTATGAATATGCTTGAAATATTCAAAATTACTGACAAAGCAGTTTTATCAGACACTAAACGTCTTCTCTATTCTCATTTCCTAATCATGTATTTTCAGTCAGAATAGGAAATATATAAATAAGAATCTGTCTATGCGAACAAAAGTACAAAGGCTCTTTAATACAGTTTACGGTACATCGTTGTATTTTTAAAATTAATCAGGATTTTGTACAAAAATGTTTTTTTCAAACAAAATGTTGAATGAATACGGTACATCCACTATGCGGAGGACAGGTTGTGAACAAATTATTTATATTCTCGGAAGTGAGCAAAGAGAAGCATTAGAGCCGACAAGCAGAAATACTTAGAATGTGGGGAAAGCTGCAAAAGAAGAAATTATGAGACAACTATATGACACAACGGTGAAGATAACAGGAACATAACGTAAACCATAGAGACCAGTCAAGTATAAAGAAGGGAAGCCGATCACTAAGATCCAAGGACAGTGAACCTGGTGGGTAGAGCTCTTGAGTAGATCCGATCCACTGAATCTACCAGCCTCTGAAGTAGCACGCACAGACCTTACCATAGCTGCTGCTTAACCAACAGTCGAGGAACCCAGCAAAACCATCAGAAAAATCATGAGTAGAAAAGAAACAGGACCTGACAGCATACTAGCTGAAGCACTAAAGTCAGATAAAAAATAAGTATAAACATACTCAACATTCTGTCCAAGGAGATTTGAGAGGAAGAACAATTGCCGACGGAGTGGAAAGAAGGACACTTCATTAAGATACCGAAGAAATGAGATATCATCAAATGTGAGAACAAAAGAGGCATCAAACTACTATTGGTACCAGGAAAAGTTGTACAAAATGTTGTACAAAAACGTTTTTTTTTTGAAACAAAATGTTGAATGAATACACAAAAATGTAGATAAAATTTTATTTTACATTATTTCTTTTGAGGATTCGGTAACTGTTCGCAAGTGTTTTGTGATGAAAAACATTTAATTTTGAATGATATTTCAGCAGCTACGTCTTTTATGCTTCTTAATCACGTTGAAATGAGAAAATGATACGACGAAATATTTTTCAGGGGTAAAAAAATGGAAAATAACAAGAAAAAAAATTATTCTCAAGAACGACAGATTAATATCCATATTAATCCTTGTTTAATATTTCAAATCTCGCGAGGCAGAATAGTGGATATGCACTGATGACGAGTCCAACAATAAGACGAAACGACTGTACAGTGCTACCATGTTTTCCATGATAGTCTAGCTTCAATTGACTTAGGAAAATTTCATATATAAACAATAATTGATTACTGACTAGTTACAAATATTTCGATCTGAATCTCGCAAAAAGTATTAATCCTTCCAGAATTGTTGACGCGCCTAGTTAACGAGTAGTGACTAACACAAAACATCGTCTCGTGGTTTTACTGTGAAGCACCTTTATTCATCTAAAATTATGATGTACGTTCAGACTTTTGATATGGTTTTGATTCTACCTACTTGTAAGGCATAGTGATAGCTTTGGGTGTAAAGAAACATTAAAATAACCTCAGTAATTTCAATTAAATAATTCCAAAAGATTGACCAGCAAGCTGTTCTGATATTCTTGAGGGAAATAATTATAACTAAATAGTAAATAAATTTTATGAACTAAGTATAATTTACATAAATAAAGTTATCAGTAAAGGGTTGTAAAGATCATTGAGTTTTGATTAAAATCATTAGGGAATCTGTGTCAAACTACAATTTAAAACAACGAAGCGCTGAACTACCGATTTATCTTAGTATGGAACTTCTCGGCAGTGTGCATCCACAATCCCGAACATGGGACTCGAACCCAGTGCCTTAGGTCTCGCAAGCGAATGCTTAACCTCCAGATCACTGAGCTGGCAACCAATGATGTCGATGTCTAACTTCAACCAATCCACGAAATTGTGCTCGAGAAAGAAGACACTTGGTTCGAATCCCATATGTAGGACCTTGGATTGGTCCTGCTGAGGAGTCCTATGCTGGGGCGAAACGGCTGTCTAGCGTTTTTTTTTTGTTCTCAACGATGGTCTAACATAACATTCATTCATGATCTCCACATAAAGTTCTAACAATAATATTATTTTGCAATCATTTTGATATAGATTATAAATATTTTTGAGTACACTAAGATCTATACTGTTTGAATATTATTTTTATGATGAATACATTTTGCCGGTAATAAAAAAAATAATAAAAACTTGGAAAAGAAAAATACAACCATCCATCAATCAATCAAGTGAATAATGTAAATAGATATGGATGATTTGATCATAATGAAGTGATTTAATAGAATCATATTGTATCTACACTATAACTGATTGATATTTTAGCTTCAAGCTAGTATCTATACAAGTCCTAGAAGTTGAAATGTAATACAACTTACATAAATTAAAAAGGAATTTGTTATAACGTATAAGTGCTCAATTTAATATATGAACGACAATTTGGAGAGGAGTGGATTTTTATTGATCGGACGCAAATGATACTTAAAATCGTACAAGCAGTCTTGATTGCGTATAGGCCCTGCTAAATGTTGATGAAAGTGCCGCAGTACCAGTTGTTATAACGTATGCCCTCTTAATACATAAACGTCCAATAACACATAAAATCGTATGATAATAAATCAAAGATCAAAATAAAACTAATGATACGAGAAATACGAATATGAATAGTTTAGTTACATAATAATTGTACAATAGGAAATAGGCATAATACATTGGTCGATAAATAGTCCTTAGAGTTACCATTCATTATTCACCAGGGGATATAACAGAAACAATATAGAAAAATAGATCTCTTAGATATATTTATGAATGTTTTCTAAAGAAAAGGTCTAACCAATACATCTAAAATATTGATTTATCATTTAATAAACACCCAGATATAAATAAAAAATTTTATTTAAAAACTAACGGCAAATGTCTAGTATAAAAATATTTTTTTTGGAAAAAAGATTTTTTGATAAAAAATCGATAAATATGAAGAAAAAAAAACGATTGAAAATATTGATTATTTGGCTCTAAGTTGAATTTTTAAATGTTTACTTTCAGTGATATAAGAAAAAAAGTTGTACATCTCAACGAGAATGATGAATGGTTACTTTTGAAAACTATTGTGTCCCGATAACAATAGTGAATGGTAATTTTGGGATCAATTTATGGACCAGTTTTATGCATATTGAAAGAAAGCTACAAAGGGTTAGCTTTTGTTGGTCCTTCACAACTCCATGGCTTGGGTCCGAGGGATGGTGCAACACAGTAGTTAGAAACGTTATCAGATATGGCTCAGAGTTGAAGTCAGTGGCGAGCCTGCTGTAGCCTTCTTTTACTTTCTTCATAAAAAGTGGCTATAACTTTCTTAACTGAGAGAGTTCTTCTGTTTGTACATTTCAGTTCCTCCCATTATTACTCTTCTCTTTTTTTTCTTCCTTCATATATACGCATCTTCCCCCTTTCTTTTCCTATTCTCATTATTTTGTGTGGCGCATATGTATCCAAGGCCCTTTGTACCAATATGTTTGTGATTAAATAAATAAATAAATAAAATTATGCATATATTTATTATATATTTATATAGGCTATTATTATACGATTTACCATTCTTTAGTTATCCCCAGTTTATTGATTACTATTCCCCGTATTCACAGCTACATTTGGATGAATCTTGTACTAATGTTATTTCCTACTTTATCGGTACCATGTGGTCAGTCTGTTTGGTATATAAAGTCAGTATGTTTGAAATACAATGATTCATACCTCAGAGGCGGTTATTGGTTTCCTGGACTTAACTGGCTGGGTTAGGTAGAAAGCAGGACCGATTAGCACTCTAGACTGCTCGTACGGATTTCGTGGGTCATTGGTCCGATCGTTAAAATCACTTCTCTCTGATTGGCGGTTTTATCACATCATACGTTAACTGGGCATCCACTCGGCCACAAGATATAAGAACTATTCATGGAGAAATATTATACACATATTTTTATTGTATAACAGTAACTGTACATACTGTATACAGTAACTAGATAATGAATATCTATACTCTTCTTATAACAAGCTTCATTTTGATCTATTAACTATTATTATACGATTTATCGTTATTAAGTTACGCTCAGTCTATTAATTGCAGTCTCCCACCATCGGAGCAACTTT